GCCCTTACCAAATCTTTTTCTTTTTCTGGTACGCAGATTCGACAATATAGGTATAAGAACTATGAACAAACAACCAATCCAAGGATAACTCCTGCCAGATGCTTCTAAAATTTACTTTCTTTCTATTTCTATAGGATTGTGTAGAAGTACCCCTGACACTGTGACATACAAAAATGAACTTGGAGTTCAACACATTAAAGTTGAGATTACACAACTGAATACTTGAAGAGAATTGAGAGGAAAATATTCTGCTTCTAATTTTCTTTCATGAATGATTCACATATATATACAATTCTGTTGCTTCTAACAACCTAATAAATTCTAGAGAAATCCTAACAAAATTATGGGGAAGAGGAAATCCGTTGGTGACACCCTCCATTTACACAGAACAGAATGTATAACTCATATTACAAACAAAAATAACAACTGTAAATAAATGTATTTAATCCTAACTTATTCTTCTAATTATTTATTTTTTACACTCCCCCTCAATCTAATTTACATATATGTTGAGTAAACCTATATTGGATATTATATCGTCAAAAGTTCTCTTGGGAAGAGCTTTCGTTAGAATATCTGCAATCTATTGATTCGTTGGAATGTACATCAGAGTTATAGTCTCATCTTCCAATTTCTCTTTAATGAAATGACGGTCGATCTCCACATGTTTGGTTCTATCATGATGTACTGGATTTTAAGCCATACTGATTGTTGATTGGTTGTTGCATCATACTTTTATAGGCATATTGTTGAGAACTTTTTATTCTTCAAGCATTCTCTTCAACCATACACCTTCACAAATACCATGAGCAAGCGCTCTAAATTCAGATTCTGTACTGTTGCGAGACACAATTTACTGTTTCTTGCTTCTTTAGATAACCAGGTTACCCCAAACATAGGTACAACATCCTGATGTAGATCTCCTGTCATCTGTAAAACCTGTCCAATCCGCATCATTGTAGATTTCAACACCTCTTCTATCTGTCTTCTGAAAGAATAAACCTTATCCTGGAGTCATCTTGAGAAAAATCAGAATCCGATACATAGCACTCATGTAATCTTTAGTTGATTGATGCATGAACTAACTTACTGTACTTACTGCAAAACTGATGTCTGGTCTTGTGTGAGATAAGTAAATAAGTTTCCCAACAAGTCTCTAGTATCTCCCTTTGTCAACCATTTTATCACTGATTTTGAATCCAAATTTGATGACTGAATCCATCAGGGTGTCAGCGGGCTTACTTCTTAGCATCCCAGTCTCTTTTAGGAGATTCAGAATGTACTTTTATTGAGACAGTCTCTTTTAGGAGATTCAGAATGTACTTTTATTGAGAAACTGAAATTCTCTTTTTGGATCTAGCCACTTCCATGCCGAGGAAGTACTTCAGTACCTCAAGATCTTTTATTTCAAATTCTTTGGTTAGGAATTCTTTGAGTTTCTGAATCTCCTCAAGGTGATTTCCTGTAAGAATGATATAATCAACGTATACAATTAAAATAGCTTTCTTACTTGAGATGCAGTGTTTGACAAACAATATATGATCAGATTGACATTATTCATATCCTTTATGTTTTACGGCTCTTGTGAATCTGTCAAACCACGCCCTTGTAGATTCTTTAATTTATATATTTTCTGATAATTGTCTATTAATTCGAACCTTGGTGGTATATCCCTATACACCTCTTCTTCTAAATCGCCATTAAAGAATGTATTCTTTATATATAATTGACACAGTAGCCAGTCAAGATTAGATGTAAGTGAGAGGAGTACCCGAATAATATTGTACTTGACAACTGGTGCAACGTCTCCTGATAGTCTACACCATATGATTGTGTATAGCCTTTGCTTACCAGGCGAGCCTTAAACCGATTCACACTCCCATATGGATTATATTTGGTTGTAAAGACCCATTTGCATTCCACTTAACACTTTCATGGAGGAAGATCAGTTAGTTCTCATGTTTCATTCTTTTCCAGTGTCTTGATCTCATCTAGGACAGCTAACTTCCATTCTAGAATTTCTAAAGCCTCATGTATTGTTATGGGTTCTGGTGGGCTGTTGTCTATCCTGCACACAAAAACATGATATTCCGAGAACAATTTGTCTAATGAAACATAATCTTATATAAGATGTTTGCTACATGTCCGAGTACTCTTCCTCAAAGTAATAGAAATATCAGAATCAACGGAATCAAGAGTTGGTACAGAGATTACATTACCAGGATCAGCGGTGGATTCATAGCAGTGCTTGGATGATTCAGGTGCTTTTTCTTTATTTCTTCTCGTATAGACACATAACTCACTCGTTGTAGGTGATATGCTTTCTGTAACTGGTTTTGGTTCTGATTTTTTTTATGAGGTTTCGGATTCAGTCTCTCGAGAAGATTTGTCTGGTGGTGGATTTTGTGGGTAGAGAGGAGGTACATTCACATCCCACAACTGATATTTCTGAGTGAATGTCTCCCCTAAATATAAATAATAGGACAAAACGGTTGGTTCTCAAAAAAATGTGACATCCATTGTATTATAAAAACGGCGGATTTTCGGAAGTAGATATTTGTATCCTTTTTTATTTGTAGAGTACCCAACAAAAATACACTTTATTGCTCTTGAGTCTAATTTCCCACGAAAATATTTATGAACATGAACATATGCTGAACAACCAAAGACTTTAAGTGACAAAGTGTTTAAAATGTATGAATCAGGAAAAAATTTTGAGATGATAGTGTAAGGTGATTGAAACTGTAGAATACGAGAGGACATCCGATTAATCAAATAGATAACTGAAAGAACAGCCTCTCCCCTCATGACCTTCTGACGACTCTCCTTGCGTCAAACCTCAGAAAATATTTTCCGATGACTCGACAAAGACTTGGAGCTCAGAACACGTCCTCGAATCTCATCAAGATTTTTGTTTAGTCCTATCAGGAATTTGAAGACCTGCTTTTCTTCCACGAATGCTCTAAAGTTTTTCGCGTCCTTGGAATAGTTCCAGCGACGCTCTTCAAAGGCGTCCATCTGCTGCCAACTTCGACTAAGGATACTGTAATAATGAGTGACACTGAGTTCTCTTTAAGGTCATGGAGAGTTGACTCGATTTCGAATATTGCAGAGGTATTTTCCTTACTGGAGTAGAACTCTTGTACTGCTCTCCAGATTTCGTGGGCAGTTTCGTAGAGAAGGAAATTCTCTCCGATTTCAGGGGTCATTGAGGTGATAAGCCAAGACATGACCATGCTGTCTTCAATCTCCCAGGTTTGTGCATTTGAATCGGACGCTGGAGGAGGCACGAGCTCGCCAGTGAGGTGCCCATAACGCCCTCTTCCACGGATGAAGAGACGGATAGACGACGACCATTGAAGGAAGTTGCTACCGTCGAGTTTATGTCCTGTGATACAGAATAATGGTAGCTCACTCACAGCTCTGGTTGTTGCTGTGTGGTGATAAGAACCAGAGGAAACTTCTGGTGGAGAGGATGAAAGCTCGCCTGATGCCATTTCTGATTACGACTCAGCAGGATTTGATTTCTTCTTGGATCAGGTATGCTCTGATACCATCAAGAGAATTGAGAGGAAAATATTATGTTTTTAATTTTCCTTGATGAATGATTCACATATATATACAATTCTGCTGCTTCTAACAACCTAACAAATTCTAGAGAAATCCTAACAAAATTATAGGGAGGAGGAAATCCGTTGGTGACACCCTCCATTTACACAAAACAGAATGTACAGCTCATATAACAAACAAAAATAACAGCTGTAAATAAATATATTTAATCCTAATTTATTCTTCTAATTATTTATTTTCCACAATACTAATTCAAAAAGTTCTTTTTTCTTCCCAAGAAAAAGGGTATTATAAATATGGCACCATGGAGGTGTATACCCGTGTGTGAGAGAAACTTTAAATGTTACCAAGAGAAAAAAAATCTAAGGTTCCTTAAGTCCTCTCCTCTACTAAGAGACTGACCCTTAAACAAACTATAACTTTTTTAATAGAAAAGAAGTATTATAGAGAGAAAAAGAAGTACAAATCAAAAGAGAACTACCTGTCATCCAAAAATAAAGAGAAAAACAAACAAAAAAAAATGCTTGGCCAGGATAACAAAAAGAACTTGGTAAAGAACAGCCAAACAATTACTATGAAAATCAGATAAAGTTCTTATAGAGACCATGAGCCTTAGCCCAACAAGACACCAAAAAGATCTATCCTATCCGAAAGAAACAAAAAGCGCAAGAAATGATTCTCAAAATCCTAGTGTTTCTCTCCAACCACAACACCAACAAGCCAGCAAAAAATGCCTGTTTCTAAAAAGGTCTATCCTACTCTTTCCAAAACCATAAGAAGAAATAAAGCTCTCAAGGTCAGAAGTAGACCAAATAGACACCAAAATCAAATAACTGATTTCTTGATGCTAATATATGTTTGCATTAATTGTAAAGAGAAAAAAAAAGGAAATGTTTGCATGAATTAGAGGAACCCTTGACAGTTGCAGCATCATAAAAACTGTTATGGATAAATACTATACCAGGCTATTGTATATTCCTCAATGGGCATTTTGCAAATAGCAATCCAAATTCTGAAAAGTTGTTCAACCAAAACAGATACACACCTGTACATACACGGACATGGACACATACAGGTACACATATGCATTTATATGTTTGTCTAGAGAGAGAGAGAGAGAGAGAGAGAAGCAAATTTATATGAACAGAAAAAACACCCTCCGAATGAGCTCTGGTAATATATCTACCAGTCACCGGGTGCACAGAAGCCAAATCTCAGTTAAATGGTTTTTACAAATGAGAACATCGCAAAATTCGCCTAATAAACAACTATTGCAAAGTCTAATTGCCAAGAGAACGTCAATACTAAATAATCAGGAGAAACACCCAGGTTAGCATGTTGCATACGATTTATCCAGATAGATTAACAGCGATAATCAACGCATCTGCCAGTCAATAAAAATAAAACCCAACTAATATAATTTAACTAACCTCAAGCTGATTATCAGAGAGGTTAAGCACAAGCAAGCCTTGAATCTTCCCGAACGCCTCAGGAAGAATCCTTAACTTTCGTCCCGACAAGTCCACGTGCTCCAACAAATTCCCAGACGCCTCCTGGAGGATCCCAACAACTTCCTCATTGATTTCCTCAGTCGATGACGAGCTCTCAAGCGCGCCATCCGCAACCTTCTCCGCTGACTCATAAATCCTCACTAGCGTTGCCTCCGCCTCCTTTAAGAGCTTCCCATAGGCCTCGTGCATCTCGTCGAGTTGCAGTATTGACTTGTAAAGACTCTTCTCCTTCTGCGCGGCTTCGCGGCACTGCTGCTCCTTCTCCGCCATGAGAGACCGCCATTGAAGGCGATCCACGTCAGCAGGGCGTGGGGAAAGGACGAGTTCCTCGAGTGATTTGGAGAGCGAAGACTCGATCTCCTCCACTTTTGCGCGGGCCCTATCAACAGTCTCGTGGTCGGGGCGGGGCCCCAGTGTGCGGAGGACGGATCGGGTCTGGGCGACGTCGGATATGGCGTTGGTCATTGAGGCCAAGACCTTGGGTTGGGTGAGGTGAGGCATCTGGTTCACAATTTCTTGCGTTTGACCGGACTTAGATGGCGACGATGGTGGTGGTTGCTCGATGTCAAAATCCGGCGTTGATGAAGCGGAGGGTCTTGGCCCGAGAGAGGGGAGTCGGGCCATGACGTAGGAGAGAATCGGGAAGTTCTTCGGGTTCGGATCCATCGCCGGTTGAAGAAGAGAAATACTGGACTGAATGGATATGCTAATCGCCGATTGCTGATTGCTGATTGCTGATTGCTGATGGCTGATGGCTGATGGCGAAAATGTTGAAGAGCCTGTTAGTTTTTTCTGTTGTTGGAAGGTGTTAGGCTGAAGGAGAACGTGGCTTCTTGCCAGCGATGATCGGGGAACTTAATATTATTATTATTATTTTCAGAGTATGATAATTACCTCCCTGTAATATTTCATATTTAAATCGAAATTTGATAATTACAAAAAGACAAACTAAAATGTTTTGGTGCAAAAAATATGTATATATATGATATATGAGATTAATTAATTAATTAATTACTTTTTAATAAACCACTATACATATAAATTCTAAATTTATTTTCTAAAAAAATTATGACAAACCTGATATTATATTGATAGATAATATAGAGGAGTTGAGAAGTTGGTTTGCATAATTTCATCCAATAGAGTTGTGTGGTAAGAGAAAATTGAATCTAAAGGCTGCAGGTTGTATATTTTTGTATGATTCTTGGTGGTACTGAGAGCTATCGCAATACAAAATTGAGATTTGATCATCTTGACATAGAAATTTTTTTATTTCATATCTACAACTTAATTGGAACACTTTTTTTTAAGTTTTTTAAGTAAGTTAAAATTACTAGTGAAGTGAAGTAAGAAACTATAATCCTTACAATCTATTTGTTTGGTGGTAAATAGTAATTAATTAATATATGATATTCTACGCCTATGATAAAATTTTGTTTGTTTTTACTTCCAACATGATGGAATATTTTATTGTAGAACCGTATGCAATGCACAATAAATGTCTGTACGGTTGTTCAATTCTCTTTTTTTTTCTCATTACTTGTTATCTCGTCTCCTCCCTTCATCGGACGAGATAGAAGAACCATTCTATCATCAGGGTAATGATCCATTAACCCGCTAATTCTTTTTATGAGGCACAAGTGGAAGAATTTATCCTGGAAGTGGAAGAATTACTGAAATTTCGCGAAACCCTCTCAAGAGTTTATGTACAAACAACGGACAAACGCTTATGGATTGTATCTAAAGACGTGGAAAATAGCTCCAAATAGCAAATTTAAGATAAATTTTAAAAACTACCGAATCGATGATATTTGATGGGCTGATAATTTTCTTTCCGTTATACCTTCATAAAAAATATTTAATTTCTATTATACATTTCTAAACAAAAACTCTATTTTTATATAAATAATAATATAAACAATAATGATTTATTTTATCAAATATAAAATTTTAACATACAAATTTAATTAAATTTTTATATAATTTATTTATTTTTCATTACATACTTCTTATATAACATTTACTATTTATATAGTAAAGTATGAATAAATTAATAATTTGATTGAAAATACAAACATACAATCTTATCATCCAAATAAAAACAATTATCATTAACATACATTAATATATAATTATCCAAATATAAAAAATTTTGTTATTTTAATCATATGTCATTATCATTCAATCACTATTATTAATATACATTAATTACCTACAACTAAAATTTATTTTAATAGGGCGTTAATGGTGTTTTTAATTTTGAATAATGTATAGATATATAATTACACTCATATATGCATATGTTGTTGTTGATAAGTTTCAAATTCTATTGTTGTAAATATGATGTATAATTCTTTTTGAGAAATAGAATTATTAATTGATCTACTTTCTAAAATTTAATTATATTGATAACTTTATCTACTATAATTTTATAAATTATTATATTTTTTATAAATTTTAAAATTATATGATGAGAATATTACTGTATTTTTATCCATTGTAGAAACTATTATGAAGATTTTAAATTACTTTGAGTAAGTGACAAAAAAATCCAATTACGAATAACAACAAATTATGATCTTATGATATTATTATGTAATATTCATTATCTTGTAAATGAGGGTTAGTATTTATATATTATAATTCCGACAATTTTTTTATTTACAACTTTCATCTAATTGAACAATTTTTTTATTTACAAGTACTTTTTTTTTCTTTTTTCTTGAAAAAAAGTGATCATAAGATAGCAGAAACTGTAGTAGTTGTCCAGTGCAACCATCCTCTTGTTGTGTTGTGAAGAGAATTTCTCTCTGAATCATCTCAAATATTTCCCTCAAACGGTTCGTGAATTTCTCTGTTATATTTCGAGTGATTCTCTGCTGGAACTCAGAGCTTTTCAGCCAGACAATCCCTAGATAAACATCGCATTTACAGGCATTATGAGCAAGGGCAGACCTCTCAATCTGGTATCTCAAATGGACCTGCATATAGAAATCTTAGCAAAATGAAAATACATTTGAAGAAATATTATCATAAATATGATTATTACTGAAACAAAAGTGCTGATTTTTCAGACACATACACGAAAACGGTCACCAAATGGAACATTATGTAGGATCATGGCTTCATTTATAAGCCATCCTTGATCATTTGCAATACGAGATTTTTGTTGTGTGCATGTGACATCTCCAAAAATAGAAACTTAGGGGTTGAACTTGTTAGACACATGCCTTTCAGAAACACCAATCTTTTGAGGTTCCCATCTAGTAGTTTCATAATTTAGACAACTAGATTTCTCCATTATTTTATGCTCCCAACTCTCCTCCAGCAAAAATCTCCATTGCTGACTCCATCTGCAAAACCGCAACTTATTATTTCTCAGCAGCTATACGTGTCCATCTGTATATTTACAATACATGGATACCAGAACCAGAGAAACTCCTGAATCTGTGAATTCCATTGTTATAACATCGACATAATTTTATGAGATTAATGTGTATTGAGCCTAAGATTTAACCATAGACAAACCACATTGTACTCTCTAGCACTTTTCATAGTGAATCTAGATTTCATCTTTCTAACTGAGCAAGTTACCCTGATCGAACCATGTAAATTCCTTACCTTTTACATGTTCTACATTGTTTTCCTGTATAATTTTGTCCATATAGCATGCATGCTAGATAAAACCCACAAGGAGATCAAAAGAGAATGGCAGAAGCCAATATCAGACATTTTGAGCTCTAATAGGTATATAATTATACATTTTTTAACTCCATACTTTTTACCAGGTTTCATCACAGACAAAGCTCCTCTAGCAAGCAATTAGATGTCTCAACTCTAATAGGCATATAATCATCTTTCCTCGAGTTTGATTGTATATGAAGCTTCTCTTGTGGATGTTATCCATTCCCAGTTTCATACATCAGAGGAATCCTTATTCCATTGCTTATTGTGGCTATTTGGTTCGAGTAAATTGAATCTTAGAAACATACTTCTGCATAGTAAGTAGTTCCATGATCCCTGAATGCCTGAAAAACGAAATGGAGAATAGCATAAGTACTTACCTTAATAGGAAGTTCAGCAGCATAAACCTTGGACTTGGATTCCTCAACATCTAGAATAATTCCTCTTTCTTCAAGCTTTATAGAGTCATCTTCTTGACCCAGCTGCTCTTCTGCAGTTTCTTCTCTCTGCTCCATACTCGAGGTTCTGGTTCTCCATAAGCCTGTAATTGTCCTTATATGCACAACAAGGTGAATTAACTTTTATGATTATTCATGCTGGCTATGAAAGGGAGAGTTTTAACTATTTCATAACAGTATACCTGTAGGCTTCACTAAATGATACAAATGAGTGGAAGTGAAATCTAAACCTTCCTTCTTCATCTTGAGCTTTTGCACCATGCCTTGCATCAACTCCCCGACCTTCTCTTAGAATTATGACTAGGGAGGGGCTACCCATAGAAGACAGTGAGGGAGGAAGCACTTGTATGTCTTCTATATCCTCCCATAGAAAGAAAACTTTTGTTTTATGCCCAAAAAAATTGGCATAGAACCCCAGAATTCTTGCAGATAAAAATATTCTTCCCTGCATCAGAAGTAATCTCAATTGAGCGGTAAGTCTCTCAGAGGGAAGCAAGTATCTAAATGTTATAACTATTACAATCACTAAAAACACAAATACATATGAACCAGGAAATTCTTTTGTGTTGCTTACTTTCTGAACATTTGAATGTAGTCCCATATTAGACATCAATATCTGATACAATATTATGCAAGGTTAAGTTGTTTATATGATATAGTAGCATATCCATAATAACTTTAAAAAGGTCCAACGCTTACCTAATTTAGAGATTTCTGGAAAGGAAATACAGGTTTAGTCATAAAAGGTCAGTTTTAAGAGTTACTATACAAACATGGAAAGGACAAGTACCACCTGCAAAGGCATTTTTCTCTTCAGCTGGCATGTAAAATCACTGATAAGAAATTCTTCAGGTGGCAAACCAAACAGTTTCTGGAATGCAGAATTCCTGTGCGGTGACCGTATATTTAACTGTCAAATATGAAGCACAGAATAAGCTACTGATAAATCCAATTTTAAGGAAAGGAAAAGGAAAAAACCTGTCAGTTCAGATGAACAAAATAAGTGCACAAGGGTTCACAGGAATAACAAGATAAATTGTCAATCAAAATAAAAAGGGCTGGGTTGATAAGCAAGATTGCACAAATGATACCTCCAAACAAATATCAGGAGATAAATTTTTACCTTCTTCCCTATTTCTCTGCCCATCCTTGTTAAATATTCCTTAATCATTTCAACACCTTTCTTGTTGTCCAAAAAAATTCTCAAGTGCAGCTTTGATGCAAAAGACTGAGAGAGTCTTCCCTCAAGCGAGACCCACAAGTCTGCCAGTTCATCAGATTTATATTTCAAGAAGTTGATCTCAGCATGCCCAAGTGAGGCAGCCTGATCAAATGGACCATCAAAGTAAAAAACTTCCATGTTCAGCACTGATGGCAGTTCTTCCATAGAATCAAACTCCAATATTTCTGCATAACATCTTCAAAAATCTGTGAACAGCTATTATTGTGACAAAAAAATCCCAGGCAAATGAATGTCTCACCATTCCATTGAGGGTCTTGAGCCTGAAGCTTGACGGAGCTCGTTTTTGTCTTGCCATTGCAAGTGAAGACCACATATGGGTCTGAAAATCCTGTTGATTCCAGAGATGGTATATTTCTCCCTTCAATTAAAGCTACAGTGAGAACCCATCCAGCATCTTGAGCTTTGAGTCCATGATCACTTCCTGTTGAAATAGATGAACAGTATTATGTTAATCTTGGGGCAGAGAGAATTAAATACCACCAATTCTATAGGTGTTCTAAATGTGGATAACATTAATAATGTAATGCAAATTGTTTACCTCTTCGCAACCTAGCTTGTACAAAGTGTGAGATCATCCTATAAACATGCTCCAAATGAATGAATAGTATACTGCAAGTGAAAAGCTCCCCTAAACTGTCTGGCAAATCAAGTCCATAAAATTCCAAGCCATTAACTTTGCCCGGCTCACAAAACAAAATATGCACTAGGACATAGAAAACCATAAAAGCTGCAGAAACTACAGTAAAATTCCAAAAGTATTCAAGTGCCAAATCCCAATCTGACTGGTGTTCTGTCAGCAGGTTTGCCAAAACATGATCCTTGTCTCTTGAATCCTTGGAATCTAGAACCTTAAAATGCTTAGACAGCAAGTCAGAAAACTGGTCAAAGCTTTCCTTCAGCCCCTGCCTAACGCCTCCTTGAATCATACCTCTTATCATTGTGTTCTGGTGGAAACAAATACCCCATGACACAATGAGGTGAGATGATTCTTCCCCAGAAGATAGCTCTGGTCCAGGCATAATATTGTAAAGCAACTCAACCTTAAAGGTGTTTCCATATGGAACTTCAGGTGTACTTACACTGGCATATAAAGAAAACTGCTGCCCATCTGCTGTGATATATGTTTGCTGCTCAGTAGCTTTAACAGCCTTAACTAATTTTGTTGCAGATTTTTTGTAAGTAACAACTCGTGTCAAACAGGAGGTATCTCCTGATTTCCATTCCCAAGGCCCCTCTTGCACATCTGTTGTCCCTTGCAGTTGTTCCAGATCTTTCCTGAACTGTGAACCAGGAGCAAAAAGAAATCTATTAAGATCACGTGTGGAGACTACATATATCTGATCGAGGAGAATTCCCCCTTGAAGATTTTCTGGCATTCCTTGTTCATTGTCTCTTGAATATAATATTTCCATAGCTTCCTCAAAACTACAACTAGTGGAAAATTCATCTGCACAATCTTCATAATCAGATAGTATGCCCAATTCAGAAGGATCGATATTTCTTAAGGGTGCCTCATTCTTATGGAATAACCTCTCCAGACGATTTGCAACAGCCTTTATTATTTGCTTCCCTTCAGGTATCTTCCGCTGTGCAGTTTTCGAACAAACCATATCATCCGATGCACATGATGCTTCCAATTCTTCAGGACCCTCAATGTTAATGTTTGAATAATGGAGGTGGTTGTTCAGAGTGACATGTCCTTTTCCATGTAAAGATATACTAAGGAGAATTTTCCCTGCATGTGCAAAGGGAAGATTTATAACGTTTAAAGACCTCTTCAATCAAGTTAAAAACTTTTGTGTACTCGCTCCACCAAATCATACTATTTTAGCAACTTTCACCAACCAAGGTTAAGAATTCCAGACATGGTAAGCATCTGAACTCACAAATCTAGAAACTGTTTGGACATCTAAAATGTAATGAATCTTGGGCTGCTTTTAGTAGATGAAAACATTTAACAGTTTTCAACATTTAGGTGCATATATGTATTATACATGTGTATATATGTATGTATGAACACTGGCTCTTGCAACATAAATAGTTCTGTTTTCTAGTGAGAAGAAGAAACTGCTGTAACATTCTGTTTGCATGTTTTTTACTGGAAATGCTTTTGTTTACATTTAAGCCATATAAAAGCATATATAACTTACTGTCTATTTGATTTTATAAATATATAAGCATTCAGAAATCATTTAGTTCAAATAATAATAGTCCATCATATCCTTTGGATTTTCTAGATGCATGAATCAGCATATAAGTGCATTTAACATATTGAAAGGTCAAATATAATCATGGAAAGGTAACATACATGTACCATTTATTTTTTATACATGCATCATGGAAAGATTACATATATTTTATTATTGGTTATTTTGGCAGCAAATGATCACAAGTTCTGCAATCTCATCAAATCGCTTATGTTCTGAAGCAGGCACCAAAACAATGGCATTACAATTCAGAAATATCTTGCTAATTGATGGTAATGACGCGCATGGTGTTGATGCTTGTGTTTACAGTAAGTTTAAGGGAAATTTTGAAGTCATTATCTGTTTATATGTCATGATATATTATTGTTTGGGACTGATAAAGGACTATAAACAGTACTAAGAAACATTTTTCTGCAACTTCAATATGAAAGATTTAGGTGAAACACAATGTGAGGCTCTGATTATCTTCAAGAAGCAAAATCACGCCTCTTAGCCGGCTTTGATATTATTCTCATTCTGGTTTTCTAACAATTCGTGTATGTCTTTTATTGATATGCAAATATATATATAAGTAATCTAAGAATGTAGCTAATTGATGGTAAGAGGGGCATGTTGAAAATTCTCCTAGATTCTCTAATCCTGATGTATAAGCATACACATATTTATACATGCAAAATATGTATGCAAACATATCAGCACAGATGCAAAAATCACTTACATGCATATCTACAGATGTATTTTATATGCATATAACTTGACTTCCATTTGATACCAAATCATTCAAGACTCTCATTAAGTCATATCATCAAGCATGATGAAGACAATAACCAGGAACTAAATGCATAAATAGATAGACAGAGAGAAAAAGGCTGACCGCAGTCCTGCCCAAAACACTTCCCGTTCTTGGGCCGTCTTTCTATAGAGAACCATGTTGGTGGCAATATCTGATTATCTTCCGCAGCAACCGAGCAAACCGGAATCCGAACCCGACCCATTAACTCCCCCGATAGATTGAAGAACCCAGAATCATCCTCGTGGTGGAAAACAGACACAACAACCTCCTCATCAACATCATGGACCCGGAAAAGAAACTCTTGGTTCCAAACAGGGTTAGTAGTATTCTTTAAAATCTTAGTCTTGGATTTGAACATGCCAACTTGAAGCTTCACGTAGGAGTTCTTAAGAGGCAAGTCCTTAGCTTGGAACAGAAAAACGTACAGCCTCATGGAAAAGAAACTTAAATTCAGATAGTATTGCTATCTTGAACGAAAGGGAATAGAACCCGGGCTCAGATGCAAGTGGATTGGGAATGGGTTTTAGAGGCAAGGAACAGGAGGAATCATGACGAGAGGTGCTTGTTCGGGAAAAGAGAATAAATGAAGGAAAATCCATAAGAGAAACGTGGAGAGCAGAGGGAATAAGAAACTATGGAGGGAAGGGTAGGTCGTAAGGAAAACAAGGATGGTCACCGTCACCTTCTCTGGTAAAACTCATTTGCGTTAACTCAGCTTTTGTGTATTGGAACTTGGACACTTTTGGCTGTACTTTTGGCATTATTTCTTTTTGCTTGTCTTCTTCTGTGAAATTCCGAGGAGGACTTAAAAATTAAGAACATATTCTTTTACTTTATAATGAAATATGATCGATTTTAAGTACATAAAATGTGAACTCATTTTAAATTCATTTGTTTTTTATCCAATCAGATTTTAAGTAAAATCTAAATTAAACTCATACTTATATTATAAATACTAACCTAAAACCCCTATGTACATTAAATTATTATATATAGTCAAGCGGGATAGAACAAAATCTTCTTCTTCTTCTTCTAATCCAAACCCAACACCCATTTAATAAAAAAAATATATATATATATAGATATTTCATGGTGGATAATTTTGGGTGACGTGGAATTTAAATTTTATTCATTTTCTTTTTTCTTTTATATATTAACATTAATCACCCATTTTATTAATTTAAGCCAAACAGTTTCCCTTCTATCCTCTCCTCGCTAATCAGGTCTTGTCAATTCGCCCAAGACTGACATCAGCATCCCAACACAGTGCCGCAGTCGATTTGCGAGTACACTTCCGAGTTCCAGGCAGGTCTCTCTCCTCCACCACACAGAGAGAGGGTCGACCATGTTACAGTTTCCGGCTTCCATGACCCAATATCCATGGTCTACGACGATGATTCCGACGTCGTTTTTGCTCCCATCTCAGTGGCCCCAACCTCACAGCGAAGAGCTTCTCCTTGCCATGGAAGAGTCCGAGTTCGAAGAAAAGGTAGTTAACATCTGATCTCCATTTCCAGTCTTTACGTTTTACTATGTAAATTGATTCATTAAATCGTCGTTTATGCATAAACTACGAATCTATTTTTACACGATAGTCTCTTCTCTTCTCTTCTCTGGGTTTTTTTATCAAACGCTTAGAGGATGGAAAGTAGAAGTACCCAGCAACGCTTCAAGGAAATTCCTTAATCAGTTCAATTTGTGGCTTTATTATCTAAATCTTATTTAGACAAAAAATTGAGGGGACGATTTCCGTATCAAATTCCTCAAGAACCGAAATTTATTATTGCAAATCTTTTACGGGAAGCTCACCTGAAAACTATTATTTTGGCCACTGTAATACGACAATTCTTGTGAATAAAAACTTTTTATTATGAAGTCAGAGGGGTTGAGTTTCATTTAGAATACAATGCCTTTATATGTTGAACAGGCATAAATGTTAGAGATAACATTCCGGGTATCTTGGCTTCCTTAAGTTTGTAGGATAGAATTCCTTTTTTCCCATGAGTTTTGTTTGCTCTGTTGTGACTGTTATCTGGTATGGTAATTGTATTCATTTGGCCATTTGTGTTGATCACTTAATTGGGAAATTATAGATTCTTCAGTAAGTTATGTTGCATCAGTTTAGAAGACCCAATTTTTCATGGGATTTACTGTGTATTCAGAGGTTTAATGTATTTTATGCCCCCGTGAATTGTTTTCTGCTACGCTCAAGCATACATTAGGCAGTCATGATCTGTTAAACTACAGAATGTTCACTTTTGCAGCACGTTTTGCTCATAGGACTAAAAGATTTTTGCAAATGAAAAGTGAATGCATGCCTCAGACCTCTAAGGTGTGACAGAAAGAAGTTTCAAACAAAATAACACTACAAACCAAGGTAGTGGAAGACTAGAAAGAAACATATGGGCTGCTGTTTTAGACACAAGTAATAAGTAAATAGATCCACTCTTAGTAAAGTTACTTAAGTTCATCAAGTAAAAAAATATTATATACTGGTCCAAAAGAAATTTTCTACCCATGGCTACTTACGTAAAAGGTAATAATACTTCTAGTCAAACCTTTTAGATGAGACCAGCGCACAGTGAGGATACTTTATATATCTCTAATTTTCTGAAGCAGAATTTTCGATAACCTCCAAAATTTGATTCTTGTATATTTGATGCCGTTATTCATCAAGGACAACAAACTGCCTGTTAGGGACTCTATGCTAGTTAAGTTTTATTACGAGGAAGAGTCAAATTTGAGATAGCTACTAATCAGTTCTCTGAATGTGGGGATCCAGAGCTTATGACAATTGGTTGATGAAGAGAAGCTTATACTGGGTTTTAATGAAACTTGTTTAGGCTAAGCAAAACTAACCTCTTTGGTCTTTTTTTTTTCTTTTTCTTTTGTGGTTGTCAATTAAGTAACATGGTCTCCGAGAAGATTGATTCCATAACTTTCTATGCCTGCCACCTCATTCTATCAGTTGAGCTGTGCTATGCTTCTGTTCTGCCATTTATTTAAATTAATAGCTGCAGAAAATCGAATCATGGCTTCGAAGGTAGAGCTTTCTAACTATATCATATTGTCTCTATTATGTTGCCTTGAAAATACACTATATTACTTCTGCTGTGCTATTTATTTAAGTTACTTGCAGTAGATAATCAAATACAACTTTCTGAGCACATGATTTGAAATAAGTCATGCTGTAAAACAAGTTGGCAGAATGACACTGCTTCTCCTCTTGTGAGGGAGAATTTCAAGGCCCTCCCTCACTGTGGGAGTCAGTTAAGCTGGCTAGGACTCGGAGGCTGATTACATTATGTTGGTATTCTGGAAGAAAAGAACTAACAAAATGATAGCCATAATGTGGTTTTTTGCAGTGTAATGAAATAGGAAAGACCAATAGTAACCTGATTGTGATTGGGAAAACCTCTGCGTATAACGATAAAGAGGATTACGACGAAGAAGCAGATGATGAGGATGCTGACAATGCAGAGGAGTCGGATGGTGAAGAATTCGAGCAAGAAACAGGGTAAGGGTGCCATGTATTTAATAGATGTTAACTAT